ATTGTGGGGGGAGGGTAGGAGGCAGCTGGGGGGAGAGGAGAGAAGAAGGAGCAGTTGTTGGGGGCTGGAGAGCCAGGAGCCACTGGGGAGAAGGGTAGGGGCGGTTGAGGGCAGAGGAGGGGCTGCTGGGGTGGTGACAGCTGTGTGGGGAAGGACGGGGTGCCCAGTGTGAGGAGAGCAGTGGAATGAGCGTGCGCCGGTAGACCTGCTGGGGGTAGGAGGCAGCTGGGGGGAGAGGAGAGAAGAAGGAGCAGTTGTTGGGGGCTGGAGAGCCAGGAGCCACTGGGGAGAAGGGTAGGGGCGGTTGAGGGCAGAGGAGGGGCTGCTGGGGTGGTGACAGCTGTGTGGGGAAGGACGGGGTGCCCAGTGTGAGGAGAGCAGTGGAATGAGCGTGCGCCGGTAGACCTGCTGGTAGACCTGTTCCCCCAGGGCTGGCCTGTGGGACCTTGGGGTGAGCCCCTGGTGAATGCTCCCGAGGCCCTGGTTTGAGGCGGGGAAGTGCTGCTTAATGCTTCCCTGGAGACTGATGGAGGAAGCTGCCTTGCGTAGTTGGTTTTATTGATTTGTTGGCCTAACAGAACGTTTTTCCTTGGAGCAAAGAACAAATCCTTCAAGTTCGGGATTCATAACCTCTGATCAATGCCTGTGGCAGCCTGTGGGGCTGCGGAGAGCCACAGGTGGCTGTCAGACTAGAGCTGAGGGAGCGGCATGGCCGTGCCCCAGGGTCAAACCTTGCCCCTGGGGTCCTGAACACTACCAGGGATACCCGCTTCCTGCCGTGCTGCTTTTCTGAGAGAGGCCCCATTGTGGCCTTCCCAGGTCCCCATTTTCTTTTTCCCCCATTACACAATTCGAAATCCTTATTGGATGACTTTTGTCCTTCCAGCTTCCAGTCTGTCCTCCCGGCGTTTGGGGTCTGCTGTCCCCTCTCTTCCTTACAGTTGCTCAGCAGTGTATGCTAAGAGATTCTCTGTACACACAAAACAGATCCTGGCCCTTCAGAAGTGAAAAGTTAGGTGACATGGTGGTTAAGGTGCTGGACTCCCACATGATCTACTGTGGTTCGAGTCCCAGACTTGGAGCTTGCTTTCCCTTTCTGTCTCTGGTGAGAAAAAAAAAAAGAAAGAAAGAAAAGAAAAGATTTTGAGACCCTTAGCAAATACTATTTTGTGCTTGTTTAAGAGTGTTACCTATTTTAGTGTGGGTAGGAGAAACATTTTCCCACTTAGCTGGGGAGGAAAGGAGATAACACAGGGAAACTATCTTGGCTTGCTCCGGTGACTTGACACCATGTCAAAGGGAACGTGGGGCCGCCTTCCTTACTCTAGGCCTTTTTCTCTCACCCATATCCCTGTGGCACAGAGTGGTTGAAGTTCTGGACAACTACATCTCAGACTGGTAGATCTTTTCCTTTTCCTGATTATTTTATATTATTTTTTTTGGAGAGGATTTTGTTATAGGGCTTGTGGGCTTGCCAGAAAGACAGAGGCAGACATAAAGCAAGAAATCATCCCCCAGAGGGGATGGCCACACCGCAATCCCTCCTCCTCCATTCTCCTCGTGGGATCTTAGGCACGCACGCACACAAACCTGGAGTGAGCTTAAGCCACCAGGTTTGGGACTCGAATCGCGGTCGACTATATGGGAGTCCAGTGACATAATTATTACACCAACTACTGGTCCCTGATTATTTTATATTCTTATACCCTTGGCAGAAATATGGGTTCCTGGGGCCAGCAGGTGGCATGGTGGCTAACACACTAGACTTCCACATGGACAACTGTGGTTTGAGTCCTGCACCTGGCAGAAACTTGAAGCTCATGCCAGGTGCATGAGATTGCCCAAAATCCTGAGAGGAAAATGGAGGTGAAGGAATTGTGGTGTGGCCACCACCCGTGGGGAGGCGGTTTCTTTCTCTGTTGAGCACACATGCCCTATAGCAAAAGTCTCTCCCTCAAAAATAAATAAATAAATAAAATAATATAAAATAAAGAAAGAAAAGAAATAAGTGTTTCTAAACTGTCATTAGTGCAGTGTTTGTTGTACCATTTCCTCTAATTTCCATTTATCCCTAATGCTTCGAAGGACTGGATTTGAATTTTTTAGAGAGATTTTTGCTATAGGGCATATGCACTCACTGGAGAGACAGAGAGAAAGTGGGAAATCACTGCCTGGGGGAATGGCTATGCCCTAATCCCTTCTCTATTCACCTCTCAGGATTTGGGGCATGCAAGCACATGTGCCCGATGTGAATGTCAAGCCGCCAGGTCTGGGACTTGAACTGCGTCTGGCCTTGTGGGAGTCCAGCGCCTTAACTACCACGCCACCTCCTGGACCCTGAATTTGATTTGGTTTTTAAGGTTTATTTCTTCCAAGAGAGAGAGGAAGAGAGAGAAGAGAGAAGCACCACAAAGGGCCCTCATGCCACAATCCACGGTCTTAGTCAGCCTGGATTGTGTGCACCCGTGCACCCAGCATGGAGGGTGGCCCTGGGATGCAACCTCAGGGCCTTCCCTCGTGTGTCCAGTGGCATTACTGCGGCACCACTGCCTAGCCCTCAACATCGATTTTAAACCCAATGCCCTGAAGGTGTCCCAGGATAAAGAGTAGAGTACAGGTCCCTTGTGGCTCATGGAGGTGAATGTACCCCAGAAGGAATTCCTGTATCATATTGTGGGGCTGAGGAAGGTCTATTCATATGGGAGGACTGGGTTGGAAGTGGCACCTGGCTGTGGACTCCCAGCTCTCCTGTACCTGCAGGTTTTGTCTACTGCGATGGCCAGCAAAGCTGAAAAGAAACAGCGGCGAGTGATTGGCCGGGGAAGCTCCCGGGGAGGCCGGGCTGGGCGAGCTGCAGTGGCGGCTCCCACCACCCCGGGGGGGGCGGGGCTGGGGGAGCTGCAGTGGCGGCTCCCACCACCCAGTCTGAGGAGAACGCCCTGCCCGCCAGCGAACCGGAGCCCGTGTATGAGCCTGAATCCTTCAAGGAGGAGCCTGGTGGGTACTTGCCTGGCCAGGGATGCTTAGGAACGGAAGGCAGAGAAAGTCGCAGGACCAATGTTTGCATTTCAAGAGAGTTTTAGGGCTGGGGAGCAGGTTCTGGGGCTAAGTGATCCTCAGTCGTGGGTGTTCAGCAGAATCAAAGCCCTGCCACAGGGTCCTTTTTGTGTGTCTTCCTCTTGGCTGGCCTTGTGCTGGTTCTTTCTGTCTTAAAATTTCCCACCAATGCATCAAGAGTTCACCAGCCAATCCTTTCTCTAGCCTCTTCCTCCTTATTTTAAGTGTTCCTCATTGCTCCCACCCCACTGAAGAGGGTTTGATCTCTTCCTTTCTCCCATTTTCACCCTGGGTGGCAAAACAAATAATGTTTTTCTCCCATTAAGCCCATCACCATGGAGACTCAGCCTGCTTTGCCACCCTTTGAATCCTAAGCCCGGCTGATGCTTTCTGCCATCTGTTTAAGGCTCTTGTATCTCCGCCCTCATTTTGGCAGGGATGTGGTAGACTGTGGAGGTTCAGGTTCAGGAAGACAGGAAAGGAAGTCTAGATGGAGGGAGAAAAGAGTTTAAAGAGGCTTCCTCTCGTGGCTTTGATCTGGGTTAAGCAGGAGCCGGTAGGGCTGGGAAGGTTTTGGTTGCCGTTGCTGTCTCTGGGCTCTCTCAGAGCACTGGACAGTGTAGACAGGACTGTGAGCTGAGTGTAGCCCTCCTCTTTTTGCATGCGGCTCCTTTGCACTGCTAGCAGCCTACGATGGAAAGAAATAGAATCCCCTTCGATATTAAAGATTGGGAGACTAAGCATTGTGTGGGCGAGTTCCGGGGACATAGGAACCTGCCCTAGGATGCAGGACCTTAGAAATGCTCAAGATGGGGACCAGCAGTTGGCGTAATGGCTATGTCGCTGGACTCCCAGGTAGTTGGCCACAGTTTGAGTCCTGGACCCGGTGGCTTAAACTCACGCCGGGCGCATGTGCGTGCGTGCCCAAGATCCCGAGAGGAGAATGGAGCAGAAGGAATTGTGGCGTGGCCATCCCCCCTGGGGGGTGATTTCTCACTTTCTGTCTCTGTTTCTCTCTGTCTTTCTGGTGAGCGCACATACCCTATAACAACAACAACAACAACAACAAAAACTCAAAAAAAAAAAAAAAAGAAAATATGAAGAAAAAGAAATGCTCAAGACGTTTTTGTTGTGAAGTTCTCAAGTGCTCAGTTGAAAGCAATGTAAAACGGGACTGGCTCCTGAAACTGGGTACCAGGAGGAGTAGAGGGGGACAGGGGGAGAGCTTGGAAATGAAGCCCATTGGCCTCCGGCACCAAGGATCTCTGCCCTCCCCAGCTCTAAGCCTTCGTGTGGTTTGGCATGGAGCCTTCCAGCTGCCCTGTGACCCCAGCAGAGTTCACAGAGCATGTGGGCCTCAAAGCAACCCAGAAACTAACGCTAATCTCCGTAAGTTTTGGAACCGGGGAGACTGAGGCCTCTCCATTGGAGACAGAGTGGGTCAAGAAACTTCTCGGTGAAAGATAGTGTCTTTGAGACCCCTTTTGAGGTCTGTGTCAGTATCCTTTACTTTCCCTAATGGTCTTCAGTTCCTACTTAGTCCTATTATAATCTGGTTGTTAATCCTTTATCTCTAATTTTCAAAAGCTCTAATAACTGAAAGTATTCCCCCCCCCGCCAAAAGTTTGGCATCTAAACTTATTTGGTGGTTAAAACCCAGCCTACACCGACACAAAGTCATTGATAGTCTGTTTAAGCCACTTAATATAAATATTGTTATGTTTTACTGCAGACATGCTCATAATCTGAGAAGTTTGATTGCTTGGTGCTGTTCTAAAGCCCACTGGGGGTAGGATTGGGGGATTATATACCATACTATCAATATATTAAATTATAATTCTGAAATATACCTGACTCCGAGGGTTTCGGATAAGGAATTGTAGACCCATATTTCAGGCAAAACAGAAAAGATATAGAGAATAACATGCTACTACTCACGTACCCCCCACCACCACCACCCAGTGTAGGAATAAATCATTACAGCAAGAAGGGAATCCTTTCAGTTGTCTGTCACCAAGCCTTTCTCACCTTTTCCAGAGGATAACCGCTATCTTGAATTGGTATTTATCATTCTCAAGCTTGTGTTTTAATTTTTTTTTTGAGAGGTTTTTGCTATAGGGTGCGTGCGCTCGCTGGACAGAGAGAGACAGAGAGAAAGCGAGAAATCACCCCCCAGGGAGGATGGCCATGCCGCAATCCTCTCTCTTCCATTCTCCTCTCGGGATCTTGGGCATGCACGCACAATGCGCCCGGCATGAGTTTAAGCCACTGGATCTGGGACGTGAACTGCGGTCGACTACATGGGAGTCCAGCGACATAGCCATTACGCTAACTGCTGGTCCCAGCTTGTGTTTTAATTTTTACTACATGTATCCATGAATGTCATATATTATTATCGTATTTGCATGTTTTAGACTTTATATCAGTTTACTCTTTTTTGAAAAGGTTTATTTCTGGGTCAAATGGTGGTGTGGAGGTTAATGATTCCCACATGGCTGACTGCAGTTCAAGTCCCGGACCTGACAGCTTAAAAGTCATGACAACTAGGGACCAGCAGGTGGTGTGTGGTTCAGGTGCTGGACTCCCACATGACTGACCACTGTTGGAGTCCTGGTCTTGGTGGCTTGCTTTCTCCGTTTCTCTCTCTCACTCTCTGGTGAACACATGTGTCTTGTAGCAAATTAAAAAAAAATGATGATGATAAATAAAATTAGATAAATATTCTTTTAAAAAGTCATGACAAATAGTTTATTTCTTCCATAAGCAAGAGAGACAGAGGCAGAGGGGCAGCTCTATTACTGGTCCTGGGCAGCCTCTGATCATGGAACACAGGTGCAGTGTATTCAGGGAGGTCTCTGGACATGAATCTGGATACCTTCCCACATGGCTTAGTCCAGCAGAGCTTCCTCTTTTGCTGCTGGACCATTGTCCTCCCCTAAGTCATTTACTCTTGAGATTGTCTCAGTCTTCCACCCCTGGCCTACTTCCTGTCTGAAATCTGGAATGCCAGTAGTTTTCTGAAAGGAAATAGATCATCCCACTCACCCCTAAGACCCTGGAATCGCCTAATCCATCTTTTCATCTCTTCCTTCCTTGGCCTCTGTGTCTTATTTCCCTTTTTCTTTCTGGAAGCCAGAGTGTCCTGTTCCCTGGAGTCTTTTTTTGTTCAGTCTCATTTGTTTCTTTTCCCTGTCAGCCCATGGAGGATAGGAAACTTCAGTTTTACTCCAACCGCCTGTGTGAGCAGAGGATTGGGAGGCAGAGAAGCAGAACCTCCTGGGTTTTATGGGAGTCCAGACTGGGCATGGCAGAATCGAATGCTTAGCAGCCTGGTGGTTTGGAGAAAGGCAGATTCCCGTGGGCCTCAGCTTCCCCATGTAGAAGAGGACTGGGGAAAGAATGAAGGCCAGAAGCCGAATGCCTGGAATAATCTCAGTGCTAACTGCCTTCTTTCTCCTGCCTCAGTCCCAGTCAGTTTATTCCGTTTGTTCGTTTAGGCTCATTTCTTTCTTTCTTCGGAAAGAGAGAGAGAGAGGCACCCCCAATAGGGTCCTCGTGTCACTGTCCAGCCCTGGGCTTAGGTGACCTGACCCGCGGGCATGTGCACATGTCACCTAGGAGGTTCTGGATTGCAAACCCGGGACCTTTTCTCTGTGGGTCCAGTCGTACTATTGCTGTGCCACTGCCCGGCACCCTCAACCATGTTTTAAAATTAAATTGAGAAACTATTTACTATAAAATTGACCCTTTTATAGAGCATAGTATAGTGTTTTTGTGTTTTTAAAAAAATTGCCTGAGGATATATGTGCTCACCAGAGAAAGAGAAAGAGAGAGAGAGAGAGTTCCCCGGTGGCGGTGTTATCATGCCGCAATCCCTTCTCTTCCATTTCTCCATTTGGATTTGGGGCACACAGGTACTCATACCTGTTGTGTTTTTCAAGCCAGTGGGGCTGGGATGATTTGATCTGCAATAGGCCCTGTGGGATCCAGCATGATTTTCAAGCCACCAGGTCTGTGACTTGACCTGTGGTTGGCCGTGTGCGAGTCCAGCACCTTACCCACTGTGTCATGTGGGATCCAGCCGCCTTAACTACTCTGCCACCCATTGACCCAGAGCCTTGTCTGTTAGCAGTCACTCCTCCTTCCACTTTCCCCCCACAGGGATCCACGATCTGCTTTCTGTCTTTAGGAATTTGCTTATTCTGGACATTTCATATGAATGGAATCGTACCATGTGGTCTTCTGTGACGGGCTCCTTTCACTTAGCATAATGTTTTCAAGGTCCACTCATGTTATAGCCTGAATCACCCCTTCATTCGTGTTCATGGCTGAGCAGTGGCCCACACGTATGTAAATACTGCGTGTTGAGGCTCCACTCATCGAGAGCTCCGCGGTCCGCCTGCTGCCTGTTCCAGCGCTGCTGCTGTGCACGTCGGCGTCCACTCTCTCTCAGTCCTTGCTCTCATGTCTCCAGGGTACAGACCTAGAAGTGCAGTTGCTGGGTCAGGTGATGACTGTGTTAACTTTTTAAGAAATGCCCTAATTTCTGTGTCTTCCTTCTCCCCAGAGCCGGTCTCGGAGGAACCTGAAGCACAGAAGGAAGTATTAGTGGCGTCTGAGGCAGACCTGGTAGGCTTGGGTTTTCCCTGAGGCAAAGATGTCTCCCCCAGCAGCTGAAGAGTCAAAGGGTCTGTTGTGGGAGGGTGTATGAGGAATTCTTTCCAATCCATCACTTTCTTCTACTTCCTCTCTACTGGTAGCCTACTCCCCATACATCCAGGACATTGAGCAAGAGACAAAGTCAACTGTGTCCCCTCCAGGAGAGGAGGGCTTTACGTGAAGAACAGGACTTTCAGCCACCCTTCTATATGTTCCCACCTTGGGTCAAATTGTGATAAGCTTTCTCAGTTATATGGGTTGACATCTGTACAAGTCAAACAACCCGGGAAGATACTGTCCTAAATTGTATGCTAATTTCTTTTTCTAATTTGCTGGAAGATGTGTGTGCTGGCCAGAGAGATATGGAGGGTGTGTGTGTGTGTGCGTGTGTAGGGGGAGGGAGAAAGTACCTCCCTGGGGGATGGTCACACTGCAATCCCTTCTCCCCCATCTCTCCCTCCTTGCAGAGTTTTGGCCATGCATGCTTGACATGCTTTTCAAGCCGCCAGTCTGGGACTTGACTAGTGCAGTCAGTCATGTGGGATCCAGCTGTCTTAACCACCAGGCCATAGGCGGGCCCTTGATACTCATTTCGAAGACAGTCTCTTCTTCCTTTCCTTCAGTTTTTTCCTTTGACTGAAGAATACAGAAACTGCTTCAATAACCTTCAGAACTTGCCACTAAATGACCCTAATATCTTTTTTAAAAAGAATTATTTTATCGAAATTTATTTATTTATTTATTTAAATTTGACCAGAGAAGGACAGAGTGTATGTGAGAGAGAGAGAGAGAAAGTGAGAAAGCATGCCACCAGGTTCAGGACTCAAACCATGGTTGGCCATGTGGGAGTCCAACGCTTTTAACCACCACACTACCTGCCGGCCTCTACCCCACTATCTTTACTTCCAAGTTGCAGCAGAGTCTAGCCATACCCTAGCCATACTGGGTGAGAAAAACAGAAGGTTGACATCGAAATATTTTTAAAAAGAATTATTAATTAAATTAAATTAAATCGTTGGTTCTTTTTTTTTTTTTTTGGAGGG